TGGTTGTCTGGAGTCTAATTTCTTGAGTTCTTTGTATATATTGGATATTAGCCCTCTATCAGATGAAGGATTGGTAAAGATCTTTTCCCAATTTGTTGGTTGTCGTTTTGTCCTATTGACAGTGTCCTTTGCCTTACAGAAACTTTGCAATTTTATGAAGTCCCATTTGTCAATTCTCGATCTTAGAGCATATGCCATTGGAGTTCTGTTCAGGAACTTTTCCCCTGTGCCCAAGTATTCGAGGCTTTTCCCCACCTTCTCTTCTATTAGTTTCAGTGTATCTGGTTTTATGTGGAGGTCCTTTATCCACTTAGATTTGAGCTTTGTACAAGGGGATAAGAATGGATCAATTTTCATTGTTCTACATGTTGTCCTCCAGTTGAACCAGCACCATTTGTTGAAAATGCTGTCCTTTTTCCACTGGACAGTTTTAGCTCCTTTGTCAAAGATCAAGTGACCATAGGAGTGTGGGTTCATTTCTGGGTCTTCAATTCTATTCCATTGATCTTCCTGCCTGTCTCTGTACCAATACCAGGTAGTTTTTATCACTATTGCTCTGTAGTACAGCTTGAGGTCAGGGATGGTGATTCCTCCAGAAGTTCTTTTATTGTTGAGAATAGTTTTCGCTATCCTGGGTTTTTTGTTATTCCATATGAATTTGAGAATTTCCTTTTCTAACTCTGTGAAGAATTGAGTTGGGATTTTAATGGGGATTGCATTGAATCTGTAGATTGCTTTTGGCAAGATGGCCATTTTTATTATATTAATCCTGCCAATCCATGAGCATGGGAGATCTTTCCATCTTCTGAGATCTTCTTCAATTTCTTTCTTCAGAGACTTGAAGTTCTTGTCATACAGGTCTTTCACTTGCTTGGTTAGATTCACACCAAGGTATTTTATATTATTTGCAACTATTGTGAAGGGTGTCATTTCCCTAATTTCTTTTTCAGTCTGTTTATCTTTCATGTAGAGGAAGGCTACTGATTTGTTTGAGTTGATTTTATAACCAGCCACTTTGCTGAAGTTGTTTATCAGGTTTAGGAGTTCTCTGGTGGAAGTTTGGGGGTCACTTAAGTATACTATCATATCATCTGCAAATAGCGATATTTTGACTTCTTCCTTTCCTATTTGTATCCCTTTGACTTCTTTTTGTTGTCTAATTGGTCTGGCTAAGACTTCCAGTACTATATTGAATAGGTAGGGGGAGAGTGGGCAGCCTTGTCTAGTCCCTGATCTTAGTGGGATTGCTTCAAGTTTCTCTCCATTTAGCTTGATGTTGGCTACTGGTTTGCTGTAAATTGCTTTTACTATGTTTAGGTAGGGGCCTTGAATTCCTGATCTTTCCAAGACTTTTATCATGAAGGGATGTTGAATTTTGTCAAATGCTTTCTCAGCATCTAGTGAGATGATCATGTGGTTTTTTTCTTTAAGTTTGTTTATATAGTGGATTACATTGATGGATTTCCGAATATTGAACCATCCCTGCATTCCTGGGATAAAACCTACTTGATCATGATGGATGATTGTTTTGATGTGGTCTTGGATTCGGTTTGCTAGAATTTTATTGAGTATTTTTGCATTGATGTTCATAAGGGAGATTGGTCTGAAGTTCTCTTTCTTTGTCGGGTCCTTGTGGGGTTTGGATATGAGTGTAATTGTAGCTTCATAGAACGAATTGGGTAGTGTTCCTTCTGTCTCTATTTTGTGGAATAGTTTGAAGAGAATTGGTATTAGGTCTTCCTTGAAGGTCTGATAGAATTCAGCACTAAAACCATCTGGTCCTGGGCTTTTTTTTAGTGGGGAGACTTTTAATGACTGCTGCTATTTCCTGAGGGGTTATGGGACTATTTAGATGGTTTATCTGCTCCTGGTTTAACTTCGGTACCTGGTATTTGTCTAGGAAATTGTCCATTTCATCCAGGTTTTCCAGTTTTGTTGAGTATAGGCCTTTGTAGTAGGATCTGATGATTTTTTTAATTTCTTCCATTTCTGTTGTTATGTCTCCCTTTTCAGTTCTGATTTTATTAATTTGGATACTGTCTCTCTGCCCTCTGGTTAATCTGGCTAAGGGTTTATCTATCTTGTTGATTTTCTCAAAGAACCAACTCCTGGTTTTATTGATATTTTGTATTGTTCTTTCAGTTTCTATTTGGTTGATTTCAGCCCTGAGTTTGATTATTTCCTGCCTTCTACTCCTCCTGGGTGTATTTGCTTCTTTTTGTTCTAGAGTTTTTAGTTGTGCAGTCAACTTGTTAGTGTGTGCTCTTTCTAGTTTCTTTTTGTAGGCACTTAGAGCTATTAGTTTTCCTCTTAGAACTGCCTTCATGGAGTCCCACAAGTTTTGGTATGATGTGTCCTCATTTTCATTGAATTCTAAAAAGTCTTTAATTTCTTTCTTTATTTCTTCCTTGAGCAAGTCATCATTGAGTAGAGAGTTGTTCAGTTTCCATGTGCACATGGGTTTTCCATTGGTTTTGTCATTATTAAAGACCAGTCTTATTCCGTGGTGATCTGATAAGATGCAAGGGATTATTTCAATCTTTTTGTATCTGTAGAGGCTTGTATTTATTTTAGTTTGTATTTCTTAATTAATTTTAAAACTTCACTGATTTTTAAACTTGTCTTAATCTTTGAACCTGGTTATAAATTGAACCCTTTAAACAATATAACTTCAAAACCCAGAAAATTAGGCTTTGGTGTAATTTAATGGTAGAATGCTTGTCTAGATTACATAAGACCGTGGGCTCAATTCCCAACATCACCCCCCCAAAAAAAACAAATACATAACTATAGAAAAGCCACCAAATCTTGTATGTAGCTATTATTGAACGCCTCTGTGCTACCAAATATCCTCTGAGGTTGTACTTTTTCTCTACTTGATAATTTTGTCCATCTTTGCTCATACTGCCTTGTTCTGAAATTCTTTTCTGTAATGGTTTCCAAAGCCAGCCAGTCCAAGTTACATTTTCTGCTACAGGAGGCATTGCCAAAGAAACTTTATTCCCATCCATTGTAAAATGGTCAATTGTGAATTCCTTAGAAATATCTAAAATTTCAAAGAATATTGACACTATGTTTTTTTTTTCTTGAGGGATCTACTAGATAGCAAAATTCAGACAACCAAACTGACCAAAGTCCTGGAGTGACTTCTCAAAATGTCACTGCTATACAGCTCCAGTTTTGGGTGATACCATCATAGAAGAGAAAGGCAGGTCATCGTGTGCTTCTTCTGATGAAAGTGAACATCACCTGCTCAAGCTCAAACTTGGATCTTATCTAAACTGTCACTAACTACTTGTTTGAAGAAAACACTAAGGGCAGATATAATAAATACACATGGAGAATGGAAATGCATACAAGAAATACGGAGTGGAAGGATAGCCACAGTTTAAAAGAAACTTTATGGTCTCTACAGGTTCTATTTCCCCTTTGTTTTGCCAGAGCTGGACCAATACAGACGAGGGTGTCCACAGTCATATGCACTGAGCACAGGAACCTCAATGGGGAAATTAGGGCAAGTACTGTAGGAGCTGAAAGGGTTTGTAACCCCATAGGAAGAACAACAATATCAAACAACCAGACTCCCCAAAGCTTCCAGGGACTAAACCACCAACCAAAGAGTACACAGGGGGTACTCATGACTCCAGATGGATATGTAGTGCAGTACTGCCTTATCTGGGATCAATGGAAGGGGAGCCCCTTGGTCCTGTAGAGGCTTGATGACCCAGGATAGGGAAATGCTAGGCTGCTGAGGCAGGGCTGGGTGGCTGTTGGGGGAGCACCCTCATAGAGGCAGGTGGGAGGGAGGAGGGGATAGGGGTCTTGTGAAGGGGGAACTGGGAAGGGGGATAACATTTGAAATGTAAGTAAATAAAATAATCAATAAAATGAAAAGTAAAAAATAAAGCAAACTTTTCATATATATATCAAGTAATCACTAGTGTCGGCCTTTTGTTATAAACTGTTAAGAATTATGATAATTAGGAAAAGACACCTATTGAGTATTTAATCGTTGAAGAATATATCATTATTCATTTGTGACAATAGTATTGGTTTTAAAAATGTTTAATAAAAATTCTATTTACTAGGAGGGGGAGGCAGTCTGATTGATAAAGTGCCTGCAATACAAGCGTAAAGACCTGAGTTTGAATCCCCAGTACTCATGTAAAAAAAAAAAAATTACCAGGATATGGTGGCATACACCTGTAATCCAAGAGAGAGCAGAGACAGAGAATCTCTGACATTATTCACTGAATCCTTGCTAAAGTGGCAAGCTTTGGGTTCAGTTAGAGACCCTGTTTTTAAAAAGTAAAGTTGAGCATGACAGACTCTTTATCAACCTATTGGCTATGCATGTACACATACGCCTTGACTCTAATGGGCAACATCCACACTCACGCACATACACACACACACACACACACACACACACACACACACACACACACATGCACACACATCACAAATAAGTATTTACTTGAAAAAATACCAGCAGCATATTAATAATTATCCATTCTTTATGACAGTCATAGTGGATTCATTAGCCTAATTATCTTTTGTTATATATTTTTGAAAATTTTAAATAATACAAAAGTTTCCCAAGGACACAAGTTTATAATCACATAGAACCCCAGAGTTGCTCTGTGTGCTAGGGAAAGCCATCTTGTGTCCACAGTGGGGCATACATAGGATCTCACAAGAAAGGATGGAGGTGAATTTTAAAGAGAAAAAAATCCCTTCCATACACCATGTTCACAAAATTCCATCTCATACCTCTTCATATTGCAATTCAATGAGATGCCTGAAAGGAGCTCTTATGTGATCTCCCAAACTGAGCAAGTGAGACTGTGGGTGCTCATAAAGGCACTTCTCTTTGAGTTTTAATAGTGACCAAGTTCCTTGTTCCCTGTGCGTGTTTACATGGATGAAAGAAAAATGACTTTAGAATTTGAACTTCAAGGTATCACTCATCTCTACCTTGTGTCTATGTTTCATTTCAGGTATTTACACACAATATACTTAGGTATCCGGAGCCGGCAGAGCGGAGAGAGCGGCAGGTGGCGGTTTTACTGGAAGATGGTGTACGAGTATGCAGATGTGAGCATGCTGCACCTGCTAGCCACCTTTCTGGAAAGTGCACCACAACTGGTCCTGCAGCTCTGCATTATTGTACAGACTCACAGCTTACAGGCCCTCCAAGGTAAGGCTTACCATTTGGTTTCCGAATTCGGGAAGAGATTGGCTACTTAGGTCACGTTTCAAAGATGCCTGGTGTCCTTCTTTGACATCTCAAGCCTTTTGTATGTCTGCTGGTTTGGACATGATTTGTGAATTATACATGATATTTTCCCCACCATTGCCTGTCATAGTTAACTAATAGAAAGACCATCATCCCCGTTGCCCTCCAGCTGTCCTTTCAGCAGGGGAAAATGGAATTTATGATTTTGTACTTGCTCTCTATGGGCAAAGAAAACCCAGCCTTCTGGTTTCCATGGTAGAATAATTTACAAAAGCTACAGAGACAAAAATGTTATTTTCTGTCATTACATTATATATATATATGATTATGGCAGGTGTATAATTATCTGGTTAATATTTTGTGGTCAGAAAGACTGTTGGATTTATAATATGCTGCACGAATATTTCTTTAGGCACTGGTGCTCAGATGTATCCTAGAACAAGACATGAAGAGGATAAATGCCTACTGTAGATAGATGGGTGAATAAGTTGGTATAAGTATGATGGGTAAGGGACATATCTACTTAATGTGTTTCCTGGTGTATTTGTCAATCCTGTTATCAGATAGATATGAATAGCACAATATGAATGTTATTTCCTCCTCAACAAAGCCATCTGAGCTCTCCTGAGTTATACATGCCATTACCATGCTCTGTTTGTTCCAGATAGAGGCTTGATCTGAATGGTGTTTGGAATTTCCAGTGTCTCTGTAGCTGCTATGGAAAGATTATGTTACATTGGGCTAGGTACTTTCATTTCAAGATAGAGGCCAAGGTAGATATGACATGAAAAGAAACAGAGAGGTACTGTAGAGAAGAGAATACCAACTGAGCTTTATCAGTTTATTCTCAGCCAACTGTAAATGATTATGACTTGGAAACAGAGACTCATAAATGCATGATACACTTTTGGATAGTTCACTGTATTTTTATTTACTTATAGTTGTTAATTGATTTTTTTTTCTCTAAGAGAGAAACAAATGTAGCACAGACTGTCCTCAAATTTGTTATGTAGTAGAGGCTGGACTTGTATTCTTTATTCTCCTGCTGCCACAATCAGATGTGGAATTACAAACATCTGATGTCATGCCCAGCTTCATAGGAACTGTTACAGTCACAGAAAAGAAAATATATAAGCTAGAATATACGAAGCACATCCTGAGGTCACCAGACAAGTGAGCTATAGACAGACAGGGTATTTGAATTGTGCGCTTGTCATATGCTCAGTTGCATGGTTGGTGCAAGCTTAGGAAACTTTCCCAAAGCTAAGAGGTACCATGTTTGCTACAGAAGTGTGGCATATACTACTAAGGACAGCCCAAGTTAAATTTTGTCCCTTTTCTACAGTCACAGTTCTGCTCAGTCATGAACTTGTTGCATATCCTTAAAGAATATGGCTACTTCAGAGAATTTCATTCAGCTCACAGAGCCCAAGTATCAAGCCACCCATTAGTTAAGGGATGCCAGGCCCAGCCCTGATGTTACACTGATGAAAAAGCATTGTTTCCAGAAGCTTTACAGAAGTACACAGAAAATATGGCATCGATTTTCTATTGGCTATTTTCTCTTGGAGCATGGGGTCTGCCCTGGATACATAGGTGCAGTGGATACACCCAGTGCCACTCCACTGGAGAAGACTGGTTTCCGCTTTCTAGAAGGTATCAATTGAAAATAGCTTCTAGGTAAGGAGCAGAATATTGTATCCACTTTCCCTTCTCCATGCCAAAATTTTTTCTTGTTTTGTTGGTTTTTATTTTAATTCTTCTTGTTATTTTTTGAGAGAGACAGAGAGAAGGGGGAGAGAAAGGGAGTTAGAGGGAAAGAGAGGGATAAAAAGAGAGAGAATGAACTGAGATGGGTAAAAATATGGAAAAGATCCAAGAGAAATGAGGGAGAGGAAAGAATATGATCAAAATATATCCCATTAAAAATAAACAAAAGAGAGGAACAAAAACATCCATAGGTATGATTCTCAAGTACCAGAAAACATACTGGAAGAAAGAGAAGGTGGCCCTTCATACTGAAACATTGGAGTAAAGCCCAAAGAAGAAAGGGATGCCATATAAACTATCTGTGGGTGGCTGGTCAGTAAACATGATGGGTATAGACAGTGACCCAGCATGCAGGGTTCTTCACAGCATAACACTACATAAGTTACCTGGTGTTTTAAACAATCTGGGAGCTTGGTATGGTTATGTAATCCCAGTAGTTTAGGGATAAAAGTAAGGGGGTTAGGAGTTCAAAGCCAACTTCAGCTACATGGTGAGTTTGAGACAGACTGGGATATATGAATCCTTATCTCAGTAGAACATGAAACAAATCTAAATAAACAAAAATCCTAGGCAGTCTTCAAGTCTCTAACATCTCCTCTAGTAAATGAATGTCTAAAGTAGATAATTCCAGGTAAATGCTTACTATTTTGTGAGTAAAGATGTAAATGAAAACAAAGCCAATCCAAACTAAAATACCCTCCAAGAATGCAGTGTGCATCTTCAGAGCAACCTAGTAACTCTTTAGTGTAGTTAAACAAGTAGTTTTCTTCTTGTTCTTGACTCCTGAGTGCTGAGATTCAGGTGTGATCAAAATCACCCATCAGGAATACTAAGAAGATCGATGATCAAGGGTCACACCCTATTGTGACCCCATTGTACCCAATGAACAGAGGAGGAAAGGCAAGTGACGCCAAGAAAACATCACCTTTTGTTTGAGAACATTATATACAATGTCAAACACACATACATGCACACACACAAACACATACACACATGTACACACAAAACACAACACATACAATACACATGATCACCCACATACACACAGGAAGGAAACGGCAATCCTTAGCACACTGGTTGGTTTGGTTTTGGTGTTCTTCAGTCAAGGTCTCATGCTCCAGGCCCAAAGGACCTTCAACCCATGATTCTCTAAAGTACTGGAGTTACAAGTATCTACTATCCAATGCTTAGTCTTTTCCCGATTATTTATCCAAAACAAAGTTTAGGTTTCTTTGAATTGAGCCTCTTCATTGACACAGTTTCTGGTGTGATTATAAAAAGATAAAGAAATAAAGAGAATATGTTCTGTGGGTGTGTGGAGAGGTATGGGGGAAGGGAATGTCTCGGCGGCCTCAAGGAGAGGCATCTCTTCCCCCTGAGGGACCAGTCACACACCGGTATAGTATAGAATAGAGTTTATTCAAGGCATGGGGAGGGGAGCCAGGAGGGTAGTAGAGGCAGGGAGAGACAGACAGAGAGAGAGAGAGAGAGAGAGAGAGAGAGAGAGAGAGAGAGAGAGAGAGAGAGGAGTAGAGGAGTAGAGGCCAGCCATGAGCACATGGAGAGAGTTGGGGGAGATAAGGAAAGGGTGAGGGGACAGGGAGGAGCAAGAGCCAAGAGAGAGCAAAAGATCAAGAGAGAGAGGAGGGGCCAAGCAGCCCCTTTTATGGTGGGCCAGGCCTACCTGGCTGTTGCCAGGTAACTGGGGAGAAGCATACCTGGCTGTTGCCAGGTAACTGTGGAAGTGGAGTTTAGACAGAATACTAACAGTTTCTGTCACCTGTATCTACCAAGACGTTAACATTTATGTCAGACATACTCTGGGCTTACAAGTTGCACTTCAATGTTGACCAAAGAAAGCATATTATTAAGTTTCAGAGTACTTCAGGATCACCAGGACCTGTACCATATTCCCAGTTGATCAATGGGCACAGTGACCAAAAATTATCAGTAGAATCAGGCAAGTCATTGAATTGCAAGAGAACCTATGAGGTTGATTTTATGATTGCTGGTTTTTAACAGAGGAAGGAACTAGGATGTTGTTACAAGACAAAGGACTGGAAACTCCCAAAGCCAATGAGTATTTACCATGATGCTTCCAGTGGCCAGAGACCAGCTTGGGCACTACTCACTGGCTCCTTGCTGTAAGAAGAAATCTATTTTCAGGAGGCACTTCTGCCCACAGATCATCACTTACGAGGAGCCAACTGATGAATGAAATTGATGTGGGTTATAAGAATAGAGCATTTTTCCTCTGGAGGAAAAGAATAAGGTAAATTCAATAAAAGTGCTTAGTTTGACATGTATTCATGCATCTTTAGTGATGAAATTCTTGGGCATTGAATGTAAAAGCAAGGTCCTCCATGAGTGCAGATAACACGAGGAAAACCATGAGGTATTTTCAGATATTCCTCAATTAAAATCTCATGACATTGTTATTTAGCAGGCTGAGACTCACCCTAAGTCTGGGAGCCATTTCACACAACTATGATTAAAATTACTATTATAGCGTAAAAGTAAAATTGCTTTTCTGCCTCAATTACAACCAACTACCCTCTGAAGGACACACTTAGAAACAAAAAGAAAATCAAACAAGAAGAATGACATTTTAAAAACAAAGGTTAGAAATGGAGTTCTCCTTGTGAAAGTTGGTTTTGCCTGAAATTCTGTTAACTGTAAAATCCTCTCTCTCTCTCCTTACTTATTGGGTCATTGAGTCAGGGCTGCCTCATTGTGTTGGAGGCTGACAGGCTTAGGGGAGAGCTAGCGGATATAATCATCCTTCAGTTCCTCCTGGTCCAAGAAGACAGCCTGACTGCTCTTCTGAGACTATGAATGAGGACAGAGCTGCATCTCAAACCTTAGCAGCCAATGCTTTCCATCCACGCTGTCCTCTGAGTTCTGTTAACATGTGCTACTTAGCTGTTCCTCTCTGGAGGTGGAGCATCCTGGGCTCTGCTCTGCTTTGTGTTAAGAAGCACATGAGGAGGTCCAGCTATGAAAAACAAGGCTGTCAGAGCAACCCTATATCAGCCTTACATCTCAAGAAGAGAGGGAAGGAACAATTCAGGCAAGTAGGGTGACAAGAGAGAATGGGGACTGGCAAGCAGAGATAGAGTGTATACTCTCACTTCCTTTGGCAAATCAGTTCCACCCTGACATATGTCTAATAACCAGCCTAATACTTCTCA